CATAGCATTTTCCCCTTTTGTTTGAAGGATATTTTGAGAATAATTCCAGCGTTCGTACACACCTGGAAATGTCAGGGTTTTGATTTAATTTTCCAAGTGCCTGAAATGTCAGAGAATTTTAAAATAAGGTCGAAAAGGGCCAAAGAGTCCGGGAATTTTGAAACTGTAGACATGTCATGGAAATGTCAGGGAAATTTGTATCAGTGTTGAAAAAATGATGTTCCAGAAAAATAAATTTTAGGACTATGACAGGATCTCAATGAAATCCAAAATGTAACATTTAGTTGATTCCACACGGGGCGTGTACATTGTCTAACATATATCTAAAAGGTTTACACTGTCTTGATTAATGAACTTCTTAGATCTAGTCGCGCTTCAGAAGTGGAAATCCTTCAATTATCAGAGGTTAATGTTTCTAAAACTGTATTGAAATAAACGTACGTCTTGTTTTCAAACCTACACCTTGCTCCTTTCTGTCGTATTAATAAAGCAAAAATAACATATCACGGTGGGATACGAACCACTCGCCTGGGATTTGGTTATTCACTAACACCATAGGCGTTCACCTATTCTGGATACAACTGACGAGTTGTATCTAAGTGGAGTCAAAAGCGAAGATCATTCTAAATTGACGCTCGGTATAAATATATGATACTTTTATCATCTCACACAGGTGAACGTTAGCCTCATGGCTAGCGTGTTTAGCTTCCACTCTCTAGGTTAGTCGATCGAAACCCGTTCATGGCGAACTTTTTGATTTGCTTGCTGTCAACTTATAATAAGTAGGGCAAAATCCAGAAAAAGTAGATCAAAAATACTCCAATGGAGTATAAAATTGTCACCAGGATTCCGAAATGAGACGAATGTTAACTCGTTAAATCTCGGTAGATAAAGTAGGTCAGAAAATCCGGATTAATCCGAACTAATTCGGGAATCTTCGTCATAAGAAGTAGATCAAAAATCCAGAGAAGTAGATCAAAAATACTCCAATGGAGTATAAAATTGTCACCAGGATTCCGAAATGAGCCGAATGTAAACTCGTTAAATCTCGGTAGATGAAGTAGGTCAGAAAATCCGGATTAATCCGAACAAGGTTCGGGAATCTTCGTTATAAGAAGTAGATTAAAAATACTCCCAATGGAGTATAAAATTGTCCCCAATATTCCGAAATACGACGAATCGAATCGGCAAACTTCGGTAAAATAATGAAGTGCATAAAAACCGAAATGATCCGATGAACGTTCGGATAAAATCGTGAACAGGTGTCAGGGGTTTCCCCTCATCTTTCCCCACATTGTTCTAAAAGCCTTATATGGATTTATCACGTAACATTCAAAATGACGTTCCTATATGGTTCTATGGGTTCGAACACGTGACCAAATATACCAAATAAAAATTTTACCTTGACCACTGGATGGGATTTCATAGAAAATATCCAAGAAAACCTATCCTCGTGATCCTTAAATCACTTAAATTCGATCATTTTATTTTCACCCCTTGATGGAATTTTATGAAAGAAGTCATGAAAACACATCATCATGTAAGGGTTTTCACCTAAATTAGCTCGTTTTATCTTGAGCCTTCAATTGAATTTCTTGAAGAAATATTTTATGAAAAAATATCATCATGTTATGATTTGTATTTAAATAAGACCGTTTCATCTAAATACTTGGATAATATTTCATAAAAAATGCACTTTAAAATTTTTCAGAATTTGCCTTAATTTATCAATGTAATGAAAGTATAAGATTAACTCTCAAATAGCGTTCTATTTTAACCTTTTTATTGAAATCAATACAGGACTCGCTCTCTAAATATCCAATAAAAATTCAACCCTTGGATGTGATTTCGTTGGAAAAAAAATATGTCAAGTCCAGAATCAAATGATTTGTCCAGAACCTCTTAAGATCCTGTTATATGTTTAATATCAATTATTATTAGACATATAAATATAACTTAAAATAAGAAATCTTGTTCTCGTATTCCATTTTAAAATTGGTTGAATGATTTTGGCACAGTAGAAATGATGACAGTCATAATTTATACCTAAGTAACTTAATATTATACGTAATATGCCCTGATGCTGTAACATAAATGGTCCTTCATAATCAGGTATGACTGAAATTGGACAAGATCTTATAAGGTTACAGTTTCAATATAACGTATATTCCATATTACTACCCCAAATCTCCATACCAGTAGTTAAGTTTATGAGTCATAATCCCTCATAGTTTATAATGGCAAATGCCTATCCTTGTCTAGAATATGTCATTTTATCAATTTTATGAAATGATTGTTACATAAACAGTGTTTATAATGCATTTAGATTTACTTGTTACATAAACAAGGCAGCTCTCAAAAAACACATCATTTCAAATTATTAGATATAGTTAGTTATTTTCTATGATTACTCTGCAGACCTTTCACTCTTACTTCTTATGTTCCAACACTTCAGCAATAAATTATTATACTCTTACATGACCTTTATCTTTTATAAAAAACGCAATATACGCTCCGCGTCACATTGTTATAATATGTATGTATATAAACTGAATGGAACAGTAAACTTAAACTTATACAATCACATGCCCCCCCCCCCTCCCACACTAAAACTCCATTTTCTTTATCAATCTTTCTACTTCTGTTAATATTCTCTGTCCAGATTCCCCAATTCTACATACTGTCAAGTAAACATCTAAATAGGATAGTTCTAGCTATTGCTGTTGTTTTGAAATGTTGACTTTTCTTGGGGAAAATTGTTTCAATTCTGACAGAAGTTTTTAGCCAATATCATTCAATTTATCAATATCCAAAAGCAGTGTTTCGAAATGCACTTTGTTTGTGCCTGTATTTTCATATTTTTTATGAGAATCAGAATTTTATTCTACAAAACGGGTGTTCATGGAAGTAGCACTAATTATTACATCATTGCTATTAATCGTGTGATTTGATTGGCTAATTCAGTACCATGGGACTAAAAATACCAAAGCGTATTTCACAGCTCCCTGAATTATTGGCATATAAAATATGTATCCCTTATTGCCCTGCGTATAACCCGCTTGGGGATTCTGACAACTGCACCTTCTATGAGTTTTGCAATATGTATTGCCGGCAGCCCGTAGGTATTGCCCTCCATAGAATGAAATATTTGCTTAATATTTATTACTGTTTCGGGCTAAATATCAATTTTGTTATAAACTGAGCAAAACGCCACCTTTAACATGCAGCTAATTCTCCCATCTAACCAACAGAGCCTCTTTTAACATATCAAAATTTAAAAATTGCCACTGATTCAATTTATTCAATCAGATCTAAAATGGTAATACCTTTTTACTGCTTCGAACTTCCTTATATTTTATACCATAGGAGTAGGATGTTTGTCTCTTTCAATTGATGCTTTCACCAGAAACATGGATATCACTAATTTTGATTCATATTTAAAATGGTATGCATGAATAGACCTGTGTGTTTTATACCAAATAGAGACACTTCCCTGGAGAGTTGTAAATCTCTATATGTAAACAGCCTAGTTTCCCACATCCCTTGTTGACTTAGCTCCCATATTTCCTGTGAAGCTGTGGAACAGTTCTCTTGTTCTTCAAAATATTCCATTTTACTGTAAATCAATGAATAAGGCCAATTCATATCACTGGCTTCCTTGGGTCATTTAAATGCCTTGGAATTTTTAATCAGCAATAAAGAATAATGGGTTAAATTATCAAATAATGAAAAAGTTGCAAATGATGAGATTTGCTTTAAGATGGAGCTTTAAAATCTTGCTGAAGTATAGTTTAACTATAGGTTAACAGGCTAATTTCTCATTGACATAATTTTAAAGAATCTTAAACATCGACTTATTGTTTCAGTGGTCCTTTTAAAGTCCATATACACTGTATACACAATCTGAACAACATCCAGTCTCAAACACAATCTGATTATCATCAAGTTTCAAACACAATCTGAACATCATCAAATTCATTGCAAATGCAGGTTTACTTTAATCCAACAGAATGAATATGGTAAATCAATAGACTAAGTGAAATATGTCAAGTCAATGGTAAACACTAGTATCTACTATCTAGCCCAACTTGCACAAGTGCTGCCATCTACCTACTAGTATCAATCCATCTATCCATATACATAGCACCTAATGAGGTCACTACTTCAAGTAAAGCTTTTTCCCCTGTCTGTGGTAAAAAAAAATAAAAAAGAAAAGTAAGTTTGACACCATTGGTGATGCCCATCTTCTATGGCATAGGGATAAAAGGAAGGTTCATGATAACACTTACATAAAATATTTTAAGTATCTAATAATGATAATGAACATATTACAATGTTACACAATGTTAGTAGATGATAATTAAATGTCAATTGTTGTTAGTGTAATATGTATTTTTCGCTTAATGCTGCAACAATTACGCAAGTACCAAAAAGTGCCACGCCCACTTTTCCCTAAAAGTAGTTGTGTGTGACTATATTTGATAAATATTATTGATTTATCGGAGCATTATATCAACTTTTCAGTGCTTTAGTGTGAATATATACATATTTATACAACTTTTGACAAAGTGGTAGCCACAAATTCCGAACAAATTTGCAAATATTTCACTTTGAGAGCGAAGGGACATATTTGGGAGGAGGTCAAATTGATAAGATTTTGAGATATGAATACTGTTTCCATGGTAACCATATAAGTTAGAGATTGGAAATTTCTGGCACTGACTAACCATGGTATGCCCTGCCTACTAAAAAACTATGTATGTATGACATGCATTAGTATTCTTTTTATTAGGTGGTATTAAAGTACCCCCAAGGTTTTCTTGGGGTGGGGGTATAAATTGGCCTGTGGGCCGTCTGCCACCCCTACATGAAGTCCAACTACCCAGAAAGTACCCAGCATAATCATACAGACTGTTTGAAATATGTTGGAATGTGTGACCTTCCATGAAAAGCAGAAGTTACAATTACCAGAGTAGTCCACAGTCTAATACGTTATACTGACTATAATGATGCATGATACATGATATCTGCATTGAGATATGAATTGAAAATGTCGATGACAATAAGATCAATTATAGTCCGAGAGGAGTTACGTAATGTATCAAACATGACACCAAGCTGTTTGATGGCTATTGAATATTGGCATTTTCAATCACGGCGCCTTGCGCTCGTCCCTTATACCACCGGGTCCAACTATACACGAAAACAACCGTTGATTTGGTTTTTAGACCTACCAGATGTTTGAAAATCAAGGATTTTGAGTCTCATACTACAACCTGTTTCGCCAAACTTGTTCCATTCAAAGGAAACCAATTCAAAAATGCCTTTTGTCGGTGCATTGCTTTAGTGTAAAGAGGCCCTCGTCTTAGCGGTGTTTGAGAAGCGCTTCTCACAGCTGGGGACCCAAACGGCGCTTGCAGGAGGGACTCTGTATAACAATATAATGTACCATCAGAAAGGCATTTCGTTTTGCTTTAAATGGAACAAGTTTGAAGAAAAGCGGTGTCGTATGAGAATCACAATATTTGATTTTCAAACACCTGGTAGGTCTAAAATTCAAATTAAAAGTCGTAGTTGGCACCGCGTGAATACACAGTCGCTACGGAATCTTTGGTTAAGATTCCAAGACATCTACTCATCTCTTCTTCTTAAGTTTATAGATGGATTTCAATGTCAAGTTATAATAGTCAATCTCGTAAACTTCCATCGCAACATCATAAAGTTTGATAAGGTTCCAATATTTATTGTAAAGTTAAAATAAATCATAGTCTAAGTATTACCTTTGCATGATTATAACCTGGTTCTTACCAAATGGAGCTGATAGTTTTTGTATAATCTAGCATTCTAATTAATCATTTAATAAGATATATAATTTTGAAGTTAAAGTCAAAATAATTAATTTGCTAAGCCAAAAAGTTCTCCTGAAACTGTGTATTCCGTTCCGTCGTATTTGGCTCGTTCCGTCGTACTTGGCTTCGGAACATCGGTAGCAATGTACACTGCATTACACTATTCTGTGATGGATCCCTTATTATTCCGTACAATAAATGACTGTTGACAATAGGGAGTTTGAGCTTGCATATAAAATCGAAACTCTAACCTATACGCATGACCAATCACCCATACAAATACACCGCTTAAATATTTTCCGTTCGCCTTTAGGTAGTTAAAATCATCGCACGCTTAAATTCCCTATTGACTGTTGGACAACACAAATGCCATGGTAAACAGCCTTTAAAACAGAGTTGACGCTTGCCGGGAGAGTTCTGTCTGCCTCCATGTTTAAGTAAGGCTGGGTTTTCAACCCAATTTTAAACGTTATGCGTTATACCCTTTAAACGTCTGATGAGGACCATAAACTTTTATTTAACGTTATGTGTTACCCTTTTACGTCTGATGAGCGCCATGCATCCTTACTTAACGTTATGCGTTACCCTTTTACGTCTGATGAGGACCATGTACCCTTACTTGACGTTATGCGTTACCCCTATACGTCTTATGGGTGACATGTACTCTTACTAACGATATGCGTTACCCTTATATGTCTGATGAGGACCATGAACTCACAATCAACGATATGCGTTATCATTTAAACGTCTGATGTGAACCTAAACTCTTACTTAACGTTATGCGTTACCCTTTAAACGTCTGATGAGGGCCATAAATTCTCTTCTAAACCTTGGTCCAGAGATGCAATATAAAAGGAAGTTTAGCGCACTGTTCAGATAGAAAAGCATGTGGCAAATAGCAAATGCCAGTTCATTGTCCGTATAGTCTTCCCAGGTGTTAAGATCGAACCATATATGATAGTAATTGGTCAGGACAACAATTGGACAGGTGGTAACGAAGAAAACAAAATTAATTGTTAAAAGAATTGTTGTCATGGTGTTAAGTTTCGAGTCATCCAATGAAGTGTTGCTGGCCATTTTGTCACTTTTGTACTTGATGAATCTCAGCCTCCCTATAATCAGTACATTCGCCGATAACATAATTACAAAAGGCGCATAAGATGCGACAACTGCATCGATGATATCATAAATTTCGTGCCATTTCACATTCGTACTGTTTTTGTTCCCGTCAACATCACACCATGAGACATTGGAATATTCATTTGTATTCAACTTCACTGTGACGAAGAAGTGTGAATTCAGCGCGATGCACACTAAAAAGGTTATACCAATGGCGGCTAGGGTAACTTTATGAGTGCAAATTAGTTTAACTTTGTGGGGGATGAAAACAGCGATGACCCTCTCCACCGTAAGGCATACGAGCAGCCATGCAGATATATGGATAGTCGTATAAAGTATGAACATGTGAAACTTACAGCCAGCATCGGTATAATCTCGGATATCTGTAGGTGTCATCGTCCTGTAGCCGAAATGTTCACGATACAGGGATATACCGTATTTTATCCATTCACGTACTAAGCCTGTTAGGAGGACCGTTGTATCCACAAAAGCAAGTGCGATCAAGTACATGCTGGATGTTGAAGAGCGCATCGTCTTTTGCAGCAATACTACCACCACCATTACATTCCCGACAATCCCTACACTTAGGATAATAGGTGAAAGTACCAAGAAGATATACACACTCATAACAAAAGATTGAAAGTCCCATAGAGTTTGCATGTTTTCCTTATGTCGCCTTCGAAATTATTTCAAGTCAAATTGCTATATGTTGTCGATTTAAGTATTTACAATTCCAGTATATAAAATAAGTATATAGATACTAATTAGTGATAAATTTCGTAGTCAATTCAATCAATAATTTTTTCAATCCTTTCCAATTCAACACACTCCGGCTATCCGAACTTCTTTCTTTATTTGTACATCAGAATTCCCCGACTACATGTATATAGCTAGAATTTCAACCAGATCAGATAACGTTGAAATATCATCGTCGTGATTGGCAGCATTATATATCACTTCATTAAGTTATAATCATTTTAATTAGTAACCAGACACAACATGTTATCATGATTGTATTCGTGAGGTGTCGCTTATATAATAATGATAATTTAGATAGAATAAAATTAATTATTCATTTAACATTGTATTATATATTATTAGCACGAATAATAAACATTATATGCAATATAATTTGCTTTATTGTTTCAATTGCCTAAGGAAGTATTCTGTTTACACAAGTTGGGGTTTAGTGCAAAGTAGGCACTCCCCAATGTGTTTTAGTTTAAATTGATTAATCCCCTTTTGGAAAGAGATATGCAAAATTTGAATAAAACATAAGGAATATTGAAAAAATTAGAGATCAGTACCCATAGTGACCCCACTGCTGCGACTTTTTGGAACTTTTCCTCCTTTTTGCTAATTCAATGGATTATGTTCCAAAAATGCAAAATCAAAGCTTCCATAACGATAGCTGTACTAAATAACTGTATCTGGCAAGGTTCAACCACAACTTGCAACATTTTAACCTCCAATTTTTCTACTTTATTGCTCATTCTGTAGACATATCGCATGAAGTTGCAAAATGCCAATAGTCCATTATAGTCCATGATATGAAATCTCAAAATACTCAAATAAAGGAGCTGGTAGCACACTATAGCGCAGCGATATTTGACCTAACATTAACATACCTACATATGTTCCCTAATAATTTTTATTTTAACCGTTTAATATACTTCCGGCTTTTAGGCTGAAATATGCTTGCCATTAACAGAGGTCAAACAATTACCAAAAAACAAAATCCCAATTTTTCACAATTTGGAGTACACAATGCAACAGAAAATAATGCAAAATGATTTTAGATATATGATTTAGGTTTCTTAGCCATGAGTTTGAGGTTATTTTTCTTATCAATACCAAAAAATTATGTAATCCGTGTATCGACGTTTTGTATTGTTTCTAGGGTATTAATAAGATAAATGCTACAAATGAATCACTTTTATATTAGAATGACAAATGCTTAATTATGCTAGTTCTTTACAAAATGGATCTCAATACGTTTTGGATATGGACTTTTATTCAGGGGTGAACATTATCAATAAAGGAGGGCCTATTGCTCTACCTTGACTAATTGGGACTACAGCTAAAACTATATTTCTCGTAGTTAGATATAGCTCAGTTGCTTATAAAACAACTATCAAGACTTGGTTGAATTCATGAATAATTGAGAAAAATAGTTATCATTTTCTTCCTAAAATTTGATTGTATCCAGCGGTAAGGTCAAAGATAGCCACAAGTAACGTCGAGGAAGAATTGTAAGGCATTCGATTGCATATGACTCTAATTGATTATTAGGCATGTCCTTGGAATATATCAACATTCCAATACCTCTGTAACATTTAATAAGATATAAATCTTACCTATTTGTTATCGTGTTATGTTTATAAAACGGGAACAATAATTTGTTGTTAGACCCCTTGCGATTATATGGAAAAATTATGGTGATAAAATGTTTTAAATGGTAAGAAAACTAATACGTTCCCAATCATAAATTACCTTTTAAATATTCCACACAATTTTGTTGAATCGCCATGGCTTATATTTGAAAAATCAAACAAAATCTGAAAAACACACTTGCGTAATTACATTAATTAAACATCGACATCTACAGAAAAAGTATAGTATATTTTTGCATTATGATAATCTATTTTTTGTTCGTATGCTTAGAATAACGGTCTGTGTCTTATAAAATGTATAAAAGTTCGAATCAAAATATTTACGTTTTTTGACCCCTTGCGATGAAAGACATTTTTCGACCCGAAAGCCGGAAGTTTTTTCAGCAAATGATATTTTAAGAGAATCGAGACATATACACCTTCATTAATATTGCTTCAAATGTTGTTGCACTACAGTGTGCTACTGATCCTTCATATTCGGAAGTCATACCATGGACTATTATACGTATGCCTTACTCACTTCGAGAGCCATTGAAACTTATGGCTCTCGAACGGGGAAATGGACAGCTGAATAGTAGTGACCTTTGAAACACGAATTAAGTCGATCAGCGTCGATCAGCGGCTTACTTTTGTTCTCTAACTATGTCATACATCATTATCATCCTTCTGTGCAAGTATTGGAGCGCTGAAGTACTTCCTTTTCGATCAAGACTTGTAATTGTCAGTCGAGTAAATGTTTTTTCTGCAAAATTCCAATATGGCGTTTTCTGCTCGGACAACGTTAATCTCCGGAGGTTGTCCGAACCTAACTCATTCTCAAAATTCATTTCGTTCGTTGCGTATCTCGCTCCTAGCAAACCGCCATATTGGAAATGGGTCGAAAAAACATTAACTCGATGAACAATTTACAAGTCTTGATCGAAAAAGAAGTATTTCAGCGCTCCAATACTTGCACGGATTGATGATACTGATGGAAGACACAGTTGAAGACCAAAAGTAAGCTGCTGATCGACTTAATTCGTGTTTCAAGGGTCACTATTATTCAGCTGCCCAAGTGCGCCGTGGGAAAGCTATTATATTTTTTTTTTTATTTATTTATTTATTAATTATCCTCATTCATTACATAACATTTACAAAATCTTCAATCGCCAAATACATGCATGGCATTATAGAAGAATTGATGGAACTTAATGAAATATAATATAAGGAGCAATGTTAACAGTAGTTTTGGGGTTGTGTGGGGGGGGGGTGCTTGGCGTGGGAAACAGTTACTGCAGATAAAAGATGTTTAAGGAGGGAAAATCATATATTGGCTTTTATAAAGGAAGCTAGCCTGGTCATCATTTCGAATTAAGTTCGATAGAGATTTCAGTTGAGCCATATTTCAGAACTTCAAGATATTTATGCTGAGAGATTTGCCTGTCAAAAATTTCAGGGATCGGGTTTTTCAGGTATTGATTAAATTCATCCCTGGCATGTGTCAAATGAGCACAGTGGAAAAAGAAGTGTTTAACTGTTTGTGGATGTCCACATGAACAGTTTGGGTTGTCAATATTGCTAAAGTTATGAGCATATAGTTGGGCCTTAAATAAAAAGTCGGCCCTGAATTTATTTACTATTATCTCATGGCTCCTTGTGAGGTTCAGTTTGCTGGTTGTGATGACATTTATTGGATTTTTGAAAAGCAGTTTTTGATGTTTCTTGAAATTCTGGATAGTAGCTTTACTCTTTAATGTATTTGGCAGGGCTAACCAGTTGGAAATTGCAGAGGGTACCGCTGAATTTCTGTACCGTTCAGAACATTTTGGTATAATGAACTCATCAGTGTTACGCAAGTTTCGAGTTTCTGGTTTTTTGAACTTATCAAATATGTCATCAAGAAATTTAGGGTTAGGACCATGTACTATTTTGTACATAAAGTTGTTTATAAACATTTTTCTTCTAGTGTCAAGAGATGGCCATTGAAGTAGCGTTAGTACTTTATCTGTGCTGCTCCCGTGAATACAACCTGAGCAGTAGATAGCAGCTTTATAATATAATCTATCGAGCCTTTGAAGTAGATATTTGGAAGAACTATTGTAAATGATGGTACCATAATCAAAATGGGGCAATATGAAGGAGTTGAAGATTGTCTCCAAATGACTAGATCCTATTTTGTTTTTGAGTTTTTTAAATGGATTCAACATTTTTGTTACGTTATCATAGATGTTACTTATATGGTGCTTGTGTGTTAAGCAGGGATCAAACGTGAAACCGAGGTGTTTATGGGAATCAGCTCTAACTATTTCCATACTATTAAGATTAGATGGACTGATATCATTAATACGTGTTCTAGGTTTATGAAATATCAGTTCATGACTTTTTTCTGGTTTAAACTGTAGTTTCCAAGTAGTTGACCATTGTTCAATGCTTTCTAGGCTTGACTTAACAGAATCATCAACATTAGTGGGGTCTTTTGGACCTATTATATCAAAATCCACATACAGTACGGCTTTAATGTAAATTGACTACTCAGAGCATAGACATCGGTAACTCGGCACGCTTAATTGTTCACTGTCAACCACCTGTGCGCGTGTCACGGACAGTTACTACTTGCGCCTCATAGCTGGGACCCGTGTAGCTCGCTCAATTCCTACTCGCGACTCAGCACGATTCGTCGTGCTGAGTCGCAACTACAGTTCTGTAGATGTACAAGCGTTAGTTCTCCGATGCTAAAGTAACATCGCATGACCATGTGTTTACAGTCGTGCAAATTTGAATAGATCGTTTGCCGAAGTAAGCAGTCAAAATAGTGTGTAGTTGTCCTGTCAGTGGAGTTATTCACATTTATAGTTGACTATTATGATTCAATTATCTTGAAACTTGTTCTGTTAATACTTAAATGCGATAATGTGCAGACTAATACTAATCCATACTTGTACAGTACAATTTGCAATGTGTAAACAGTATACACAGTCAGCGATGGGCTTAGAATTAATACTAACAGAGATGGTGTCAGGATCCTAAACTTTTAATATTTGTTATTCTAAAATACCCGAACACGTTCGAAAAGGTGTCTATATCTTTTGGGCTAAGTTCTGGCATGGACCTCTATCATTTGAGACAAACTGCAATATGTAAATTGCAGCAGATTTTTAATAAACTTTACCCAGATCCGTCAGTTGTACATGTTTATTATTTTGCTCTTACATTCAATTATGATTCAACGCCTTCCTTAAATTTTCTATCAGATCATCGATCTCAGATTTCATATATATACTATATATATATTCCAATCATATTTTGCGTTTTATCATCTTTTCCGAAAGCTATACGCATATGGTACTACAACTACTTACTGACAGTGGTTTATCGTTACTTTTTGCAAATATGGATGTTTACACTGCTTGTATCTTATTCTAGGGAGTTTTATATCGACGGGATTTCCTCTTCACAATGTAATTATATATTTTTCTGTTTTGTAGGTTCCCGTG